ACAGGCTACTGTGTAAAATAAGTGCCCAGCAATGACATTAAGGACATCTCTAAGTGCTCTGAAGCTGAGGGCCCTGTGAGAACAGTCAGCACTTGGCTCATTCCGGGCACATTAGCCAAGGCTCTCGTTTGCCCCCGGACTTCTTCCTGCTCCTCAACACTGAGCGTTTTTTGTTTGTTGGCAGCTCCACTGAGGACAGGCGAAGAAAAGGAAAGAGTTTGCCACTTCTGCTAAATACCAGCACGTTGCATTCTGGTGACTATTTGGAAGTATCAGAGTTAATAAGCTAAATCTGTTGTGTCACCATGAAATTAGGGGGTCTTCTGAAGGGATCTTATATGTTTAATTTTTTTCTTCCTCCCTTCTTACCCTGGTCATTCTTTGTCTTAGCAAGTGTGTACTGAAGATCTACTACAGCATATACTATAGAAGACACTGCTAGGCCCACAGAAGAAATGCAGATTGAGATCTCTGGCCTTCATAAGTTGAATTTTGGGGGGATGATAAGTTGACCAACTCCCTGGGTATTCACTGTAACCTGGACAGGGGTGAATGTCCAATAAGGGAAATGCTTTCTTTGGTTATGAATTGAGTGGTTACCAAGGGCTAGGCTCTGTGCTCTGTTCTGGGCACAGAAACAAATAGAGCAAGACAGACTATGCCCCTAGAGGAGATTATTGCCTATTGCAGCGTTTTCAAAGTAAGATTCCCCTGCCACCTGCATCAGAATTCCCTGATGTCCTTGTTTAAGGATGCTGATGCCTGGGCGCCAGCTCAGATCTGCACTAACAGACTTTTGAAGGTGGGATCCTTGAATCTGAATTTAGTTAAGCAGCACTCCAAGTGATTCTTAAACACATTCAAGTTTGAGAATGACTAATCTTGTGGAAGAGACAGAGAAGTGAACCCTGATGTATACACATAGGTATTAATAAATACTATATTAGTGGATGTGAAAGGATTGTGCCTGTAGAAGACCAGGGGAAAGAAAGATGGCTGCTCTTTGTCCTCCTCATGGTTGCTTTGGCAACAGAGAGTGACACCCTCCCCTTTCAGCCCTCCTTCTTCACCACCAGTCTGACACTGAGTAACAGGTACCCGAAGAAAGGAAGGAAGGAAGGAAGGGGAGATGCAAGTAGGAACCCATGGGAAATCACCTCACTTGTTCAGATGGCGCCTTCCCAGAGAGGCCACCATGGCCACTTTTAAAATGACTCTCTGTTGTTCTCCTTAACCGGCTGGATTTTTCTTCAGAGCACTTATATTCTGACATTGTAGTTTACTTATGTGTCTATCTCACCTACTAGTTTAGAAGTTGTGACTTTGTCACTTTTGTTCACTGTATCCCTGGTGCCAAAATGGTTGGCATGTAGTAAGTGCTCAATAAATATGTAATGGAGGCAGCAGGAAGACAGGTGGTTCCGCCCAGTCCCATTTCTCAGCTGCTCAGATTATTTTGCTTTGAGAAACTACAAAAATTCCCAAGGATTTATGTGGCCTTTTTCTCCCTTTCTTAGCTGATGGGAACACAGGATAGAGCTGCTAGAAGCCCTGACTCATGTTCCCCAGCCCCCCTCTGACAAAGACCTTTCTGTGGCACACCAGTCCCCTCCGGGGCCTGCAGAGACTCCCTTCCAGATGTCTGAGTTCAGGGAAGCCTCAGAGCCCATTAGTTTGATGTGAGGCTTCTCAGAACATTGAGAAGCCATTTAAGGAACTGAACAGAGGAACTGGGGAGGTGAGTATGGTCTGAATGCAAAGGGCCGACAACAGCTTCAGGGAGGGAAGGGCAGGACTCCGAGCCCGCTGGAATCCTTTGAAGCCCTCACCGCCCGTGGGGAGGGTGGGCGTGCAGGGGGATGACTTGTGCAGCAGTCCAATCTGTCCAAAAGTGTTTTCAGAAAATGTTCTGTATCACAGGTTAGTGTATAAGACACGAGCTGTAAGTGGAAAGTTGGCAAAGACCTGTGGAAATTGGCTACAGGGCAGGAAACAAAGGGTAGCCAGAAAAACCTGACAGGATGTTTATTGGGGAGTGCCTCAGGGAATAGGGTTGTGATCAGTTTTTATTATTTACATAAAAATTACATGGAGAATGGTATTGAAAGGGAGTTTCACGTTGGCTAATGAAACTACATTAGGGAGCGAGCGTGGAAATGTGAATAGTGGAATTAGGGAAGGATTGCATTTATTGGCAGAATTGGAGAGAGGCGTTTTATAACATGTTTGTCTGTATCACCCACCCATTCTGTTGGCCAAATTTCCATTTCAGTAGTGGACAGGACACTTTCAGCTCAAGCAACCTGTCACACTCCTTGGGTCAGCAGAAAGCACTTTTTTTTTTTGAGACAGAGTCTCACTGTTTTGCCCGGGCTAGAGTGAGTGCCGTGGCATCAGCCTAGCTCACAGCAACCTCAAACTCCTGGGCTCAAGCAATCCTTCTGCCTCAGCCTCCCTAGTAGCTGGGACTACAGGCATGTGCCACCATGCCTGGCTAATTTTTCTATATATTTTTAGTTGTCCGATTAATTTCTTTGTATTTTTAGTAGAGACTGGGTCTCGCTCTTGCTCAGGCTGGTCTCGAAGTCCTGAACTCAAACAATCCACCCACCTTGGCCTCCCAGAGTGCTAGGATTACAGGCGTGAGCCACCACGCCCGGCCTAGCAGAAAGCCCTTTTGAAGAGGTTTAGCACCCTACTCACAGGGCAGATTCTGAAATTAAACAGATGTTATCCACAGACATGGCAACTTCGCTTTCAGAAGGAGCTGGAAGGCAAATTGAATCTCCTGTTTAGCTAAGACTGGCCCAAGCATAAGACTGGGCTACCTGACATCCACATCTCCCCACTTCTTGTTACTTAATATTTGTTATCCTGTGAAACTCAAATTATCACAGAAATTTATTGTAGATACACCCCAATAAGAAGCTAGCAGTCTCTCTTAAGCAAACTGTTGCATCCTGATAGTAACAACCCAACGAGCCAGGATTTGAAGTTGGGAGCTCAGGGGTGACATTTTCTGTCTTCTCTATAGCCTGCTCTAGGGAACAGTCTACACAGGCATCAAGGAATCCACTGAGCCTGTGATTTTCTTGTTTACAAACCTGGCCCAGTAGAAGTCCTCTATGGCCTTGCTACTCAAAGTGTGGTCCATGGACCTTCAGGGAGTTAGAACTGCAGATTCTTAAGCGCCCCTCCCCCGAGAACTGAATTAGAATCCGTAGCATAACAGAATCCCTTGCTGATTTCTAAACACATTAACATTTGAGAAGCACTGGCTTTAACATACCTAGGAACCACAGAAAATAAAACAAAGGCAGGTTGCTTCTGATACAATACAGACCACATTAGTTAGCAGCCTGAGGATAGAATTCTGGCATTTGGGACTTTCTGGTTTGTTGGAAACTTAAATTCCCCTTTCCTGTTTTCTTTAATTTGCTTATAAGGCTCAGTGCCTTCTCCAGAATGTAAACTTAGCCTTAAGTGAACATGCCTTTTGAAAAGAAGATATTAACAGGCAGTGCAAAATACCCCTGAGTGCTCATCCCCTGAACATGGCCCATGTGCTGGGCCATTAGCTGGTCGCTACTATCGGGTTCACGGGCCACAGAGCCCTGGCACCTGACGGCTGCTTTTCATTTGCGCTCATTTGCCACGGGCCCTGTGGGTAGGCATTTTGTCGTCTGCTGCTGCTGGGTGTAGGCTGTTAGCCCACAGGACCAGCCCCACAGTAGGGTGTCACTAGCCTGGGCAACCCTTTCCATAGCAAAGGGCGCCTAGCTTTCAAAGACCTGGCTTCAAACACTCTCTAGGCCTCTTAGAATTGTATTGTCTCCAGACCTGACATGACCTAGCAGTGGCCATGTGAGAGGACACGAGAACAGCAACTTACACTACCTCCTCTTTCATCTCTCTCCCCTCCTCCAACCCATAGCTTTCACTCAGACTTGCTTTTAGAAGATAGGACCGAGGAATGAGGGGCGTTGAAGGAGACTAGTTAAATTGACCTTTTTCCTCAGTTCGTGAGGTGGTGTGAGCAGGGGTTGATTCTGCCAAGTTAGGAAGGAATAGCAGTGAAACCCCAAACTTCGCTCCTCCCTACGCTCCCCACCTCCCCAAAGCAGAGTGAACCTGGAGCTGTGGCCTGTCCCAAACGAGGCTTGGTTTCTATTCTTACTAGTTTTGCCAAGGCTGCTTCATTCTTTGTAAAGAGCTTAGGTGCGTGTTGAAATATCCAAGTCATTCAAGGCACTAGAGACGAGGAAGGACTTAAAGTTTGTCACAACAATGACACACTTTGCAAATTCAGACTGAGCATGTGTCCTCTGTAGCTTAGCTTAGATTGGGGCGCCTCCAGCCTGGGTGTGGTGTCAGAGCCCATCCTTATATGAAAGGAGTTGGCCCCTTGGGCCTCAGAGCAGGCAAGGCAAGAAGGGTTTCAAGTGAGTGCATTAAGTAAAGTACGTCTCCTTAGTCCCAGTCAAATACATGCAGCACACTTACTAAGGATGCTACGTTGGCTTTATCTCCCCCACAGACTGGGAGCTCTTCTGAAGCAGGAAAATCTGTTACTCATCTTTGTATTTATAGCATCTGGCACAGGGTAGGCCCTTAATAAATGTTTGCTGAATTAATGTGTTAAGGAAGACCAGCACATAAGCCCCTTGCCGACGATCTGGCTAGCACGATATCCACTTGTAAGTCGTCATTCCAACTCCACCTCGGGCATTTCATTCTCAATTAGTTTCTTCCTTGTCAGTTATTAAGCCCACCTCGTAAGTTCATTCACAGCTGTGCATTGGGCCCCACATGGCTGTATAGCAGGTCTGCGAGGGAGGCTGACCCTGGGCACAGAGCTCTCTGTATAATTAAGTACCTTACAGTGCATACCTAAAAACCACTAGGCTTGGCAGGAAAAGGGAAGGGAAGTCAGAAGTCAATTTGTTGGGGAAAATAGCGTGCTCCCAATTTCTTAAGCAGTGTATTCCTGCTCTTTTCAGGTAAGAGTCTATGATCTCTCCAAGTATGAGCATGGAGCAGATGATGTGCTGATCTTGGCCACGGATGGACTCTGGGATGTTTTATCAAACGAAGAAGTAGCCGAAGCCATCACTCAGTTTCTTCCTAATTGTGATCCAGATGATCCTCACAGGTTTGTACATTTCTGTAACTGTAGGGTTGTTCCTCAAGCAGTCTTGCATGACATGACTGAAATAAATAATCGTGCAATTCTCACCATTCATGATTTATAGTAGAGGCTGGTATGGATGATTCAGTAACCAAAATGCAGAAGAACCTTTCTTATTAAAGATACCTCCTCGGCCAAATAAAAATTCTCCTTAAATTGAACCCGGATACACATGGTAAAGAATTTGATTTGTTTGGATTTCAGCAGCATATCTTCCTCACACTTACTTCATATTCTCCAAAGTAGGAATAATCCAATTTTTGATCCTGCCAATGACAGTGATGGCAAATGTTCCCCAGCATTGACATTCATCCATTGGAGAATTATTTTCTTTTGGGAAATATGGAGAAAGGGGAGAAAGATTAAACTAAGTATTTCATTATAGTGGCAGTGTAAATATCCTCAACAACCCTGCAAGACTCTCAGAAATAAACAGAAATCACCTCTGGAGAAAGGCAGCCTTAATTAATTAGAACACAAACAAGTCACCATGAGTAAAAGCCAGCAGAAAACAAACAAAGCAGAGCGGGCCCTATAAATACTTCATTATTGGATTTATCAGTCAAAAATATAAATAAATAGTTTAACATGCTTCAGAAATTTTTTTAAAAAAACATTGAAAATAGCAACGATATGAAACTGTAAAAATGATGACTAAGCAAATTTTAAAAATAAAATGGAATCTCGGGATGAAAAATATAAAAATAGGAATTAAAAATTTTATGAATTAAACAGATCAGAGATAGTTGAAGAGAACATTGGTAAGCTAGAAAATTGATCTAATAAATAATCCAGAGTATGGCATAGAGGGACCAAGAGAAGAGAAAACATACAGGTACATGGTTGTTCATATTAAACTATAAATGTCATAAACATCTTTTTGTATGTGAAATATGAGAGGCGGTGTAGTCTAGTAGTTAAGAGCATGTAATCTATAATTGGACTTCCTGAGTTCAAATTTTGGCTCCACCCCTTCTAGCCTTGTAACCTTGGGGAAATTTCTTAACGTGTAAAATGGGAGTTCCAATAATACTAACCTCATGCATATATATAAGGTGAGATGCCTGTTAAATAGCACTAATAGAAGATTTTGTTGTAATTACTGTATGTCTCATATATTTGACAACAACAACAAATTTTTTCAAGAAAAAAGTAAAGCTAAACTGTCTCCTCTTAGGATTATTTGGTATAATTTTGCTCAGGTGCTGAGGAATTGATGACACTGTAATTAAAGATTCTTTTGTTTGAATTTAGATGTATTTTTCTCCTTTCAAGTTTTCAGTTTTAATCTGTGTTCTATATCATACTTGTTAGTAACATTCTCACGCTGATTTTCACTATGATTATTTTCATAAAGCTTTGCCAAGTCAGCTGCCAGTTAGGAGTTAAAAGGCACCCAGTACTGTTTTAAAAATCTCTCCAAGCTGGCCTGGTCTTGCTTACCAGCCATGGTCTCTCCATGGTGACAAATCTGGCCACCAAGAGTGGTAACCTACGGGCAGTGTCCTCATGCCAGGTCAGAGCAAGCCCTTGGGGTCCGTGAGACTATTGTCTACAAAGGCAGGGTTCACAGGGATCTCCTTGGAACAAACAGTGCAGAAATGGAAAAATATCTTTCAGTCCTCCTTTCAGAGAAGATGGCAGACCAAAGCCTGAGAAAGAATCCTGTATCAGATAGATGAATGAGTGAAAGGGAAAGTTACAAGAGGAGCATGATTTATTGGTAAGGGATAGACTATCAAGTTGGAGAACAAAAAAAATTCTCGTTGATTTTTGAGGTCCTAAGACAACTGAGGGTTGGGTTTTTTCTTCTTTGCCAAATAACTCCCATTCAGATTCATTCATGTGGGTGATACTATTAAGGGCCTGTGTTACGAGCCAAGTCCTGCTAGACCTTGGGGAAGAATCTGTGAAGAAATCAGACCTCAACTCTGCCCTCTTGGAGTTTAAAGTCTAGAGGGGGTTTCAGAAGCAGAAGGAAGTTACAATATGAGTGATTACAGAAAGGAACTTAACCTAGGGCCAGGGATGTCTAAACTTAAAACTGAAGAATAAGTAAGCATGAGCTAGGCAACATAGGGCTGGGATGGAGTTGAGGATGGAGAACATGGCACATTCAGGAAACCCAGCAGTCGGTCTAACTGACCGGGCTAGCCGGGGAGAGTGCTCACATCAGAGGTGTGAGGGGTCCGTAGAGGCCTGTGGACTCATGAGATTAGTGAATTTGAACATTAGGTGTTGGAAAGGAAGGCCGTGGTAACAATGTAGAATTTGTTCATTATGATTCATAATCGGGAAACGTTCTGCAAAATCTGATGGTAAAAGACGTATGATGAGGATTGTTTATCTATCCCGTGTGCTCCTTACTAATTAAGCCATAGTGGGAAATCAGAGAAACTTAATTTGTTTCAAACTCAGAATTTCGGTCTTCGTCAAGAAGTCTTTGCCCAACTAATGTCCTGAATCATTTCCCCAATGCTTTCTTTTAGTAGTTTAGTATTTGGTGAGAGATAGGAGTCTGGAATATGCATTCTTCTGCGTATGGATATCCAGTTTTCCCAGCACCATTTCTTAAAGAGACTGTCCTTCCCCAATGTATGTTCTTGGAACCTTTGTCGAAGATGACTTAGCTGTAAGTGCGTGGCTTTATTTCTGGGATCTCTATGCTGTTCCATTGGTCGATGTGTCTGTTTTTATGCCAGTACCATGCTGTTTTGGTTACCATAGCTTTGAAGTATATTTCAAAGCCAGGTAATGCGATGCCTTCAGCTTTGTTCTTTCTGCTCAGGTTTGCTTTGGCTATTTTGGGTTTTTTGTAGTTCCACATGAATGTTAGGACTGTTTGTTTTTTCTATTTTTGTGATTAAACTCATAATTCAGGAATTCTGTGAAATGATGTTCTCTTTTATGCGTGTGGCATCTCTGTACATATCAGTGTGTAGTTTGGCAGGAGGGCACCCCACTCATATTCTGGCTCAGCCTGTCTCCTTGGGAGATGTATGGACAAAGAACGCTCAGTCCCAAGAGCTGGTGCCCTTTCAACTGGGAGCTGTTCTGATCCTGTTGTGCAAAATGGAAATATGAATGGAAGTTGCCCAAGTCATAATTTCTGTGATGAGGAAAGGCCCACTATAATTCCAGAGGCTCTATTAGCCCTCTCTTGGCCAGAGGGTTCATTTCTCTCTACATGTAGCCCAGGACCACAGGTTTGCCTGTTTAATCTGGGGGTTGGGGGAGTGCAGAGTTGCTGGGTCCAAGCCTGAGGGGACTGACCAAAGGAGATCAGCCTCTAATTTGATACACAATGAGAAAGGAAAGATATACTCCCCAGGGCGGGAAGCCTGAGGGAAAAGGAACAGAACAAAGTAAGTGAGAGAACAACAGAATGTTTCTGCATTTGAGGTTTTGAGTGGGCCTGTTTCACTTTGAATTTTACTGGATTCTCCCAGCTCTGTCTAGAAAGGAAGCAAACAGAAGGAGGCAGGGCACTAGTCTTGAGGCAGGCAGGACTTTGGGGTTTCGCCGTATGGTTATTGGGCTTTTGTTTATGTTGCATGTAGGCTTTTTCTTTTGCCTCCCAGTGTCAGCCATTCTCAACAAATTGCCAGCATTGTCCTCCTCTGGAGACATCCTTCCCAACAAGGAATTTAAAATAGCGGCTCCCCCTCCAGAACGCTGTGCAGGAAGAGATGATTAGCATGAAGACGTGTTTGCCAAGTTCTGGCCCTCACACCATCCTCTCGGGCAGAGACGGATGAAAATGAGCTGTGGGATCTTCCTGACCCTGCTGTATCTTAAGTCCTTTTGCTCTTTTGAACTGTCTCAACAAAGGAACCAGAAAATTAAAAGGCGGCTTTGTGGATGAGCCAGAATATGAGTGCAATAAGTTTTTTTCTTTCTTTCTTTTCTTTTTATTGGAGTTTGCCCTGAAGTGTAGCAGAGCTGGCAGTTCTTTGACTCTTCTTGTGGGGTCATGAAATGAACCGTTCATAGGAAATCTATCAAGCTAACATTCTAGAGTGGGGTCACTGGAGGTCAGGCTGTGCACAGTCCTCTAGTCTCCTACAATTTCAGTAAGATTCTCCGTTGAGGCCTAAAGGTCCTGTACAATTTGGAGAAGGTACTCAGAGAAGGGCCTGGAAGAGTTTTTGACTATCCCCTCGGTAAGGCCAGAGGTTTAGTGGTGGGTCTCCCAGGAAGAGTATTCAAAACAGAGGCAAGTATGTAAATACTCAAAAAAGAAGCATAATATTTTGTCAGAAAGGAAGAAATTGTTAATATTACAAAAGGGGAAGGGAGTGGGCAAAGCCAGGAGGAAACAAACATGAAAACATGGAATGGATTCACATTCCAGATGCCCACGCAAAGCTTCACAAAGCTTAGCTCCTTTATTTCCCAAATCCTGTCTGTGAAAGCCTAATTTTTTGTATCTTGGACCTAATGACCCTCCATCCTCCTGCCTTGACTCTCAAGGGGCTTTTTATGGGGTGTTAAATCTGTGGGTACCAGTATACCATAAACCCATAGAGTATGTCTCTGTTGGCAGAGGCCTCATCGATGTCTACAATTCTCATGTCATTCTTCGTATCCACACTCTCCTTGGCTCAGAGAACTGTGTGCCTTGGAAGGAAGAGATTAATCAGTGGAAAGTTAATAGTAAAACACCAACCAATACTGACAGCTGGCATTAATGCAAGTATTAAATGCTAGTTTGTATTACCCTGATAATATGAAATTTATTTTGGCAAAAGACAAAGATTCTTTTTAGGAAATCTTTCTGTGAGTTAGCAGAAGTAATTTCTAACAGTGCTATATGGTTTTCAAAAACTATGCCTTAAGGGGGGGAGGGAGGGTAAGGGCATCATACGTAACCTAATCATCTGTACCCCCATAACAGGCTGAAATAAAAATTTTTAAAAAAAAAAGAATTCAGATATGAATATGACATGACCCCCAAGACATGT